GGCGGCATCACGTCCGAGCTGCTCCTGCAGACACTCTACGTGCACAGGGTGATTTTTGTGGGGGCTGGCATGACGTTTGGTTTCTTTGCGTCTCTGCACCCCCCGGTGTGCGGTGCCTCTTCTCATTGTCTGGTGAACTACGGTGCATTCGACATTGCCCTCTGGTCGATGTCGCGGGTCGCTTGATCCCTCGGTCCCTTGCGTCGCATCCCCAGAGACGCCACCAATGCGGTACGTAGAGCCCGCTGCGCGTGGACTGGCGATGGCGCAGCTGGTCGGCATCGTAATCGCAGTGCTGCTTCTGGTCACCATCATTGCGGTGGGGGTGGTTGTGGTGCTGCTGTGCTGCTGCCGCGACTTGCGTAGCAATGCGACTGCGCCGAAGGAGGCAACGGACCCCGTGGCGCTCGTGTTTGCCGACATCGAGAGCAGCACGGCGCTGTGGTCCGCGTGGTCCGAGTTGATGCCCGACGCCGTGGCGACGCACCACCGGCTGATCGCGAGGTACCGCAGCTACGGGGTGAAGACGATCGGCGACTCGTGCATGGTGGCATGCAAGAGTGCGTTTGCCGCCGTGCAGCTTGTGCGCGAGCTGCAGGGGGTGTTTCAGCGGCACGCGTGGGGGACGAGTGCGCTTGACGACGCGTACCGCAAGTTTGAGGAGGGCGGGCGTAGGAGGGGACGGAGGGGTACGTGCCGCCGACTGCGCACCTGGACGCCGCGGTGTACTGGCATCACTGGAGCGGGGTGCGGGTGCGTGTGGGGGTGCACACCGGGCTGTGCGACATCCGGCGCGACGAGGTGAGGAAGGGGTACGGCTACTGCAGCGGCACGGCGAATACGGCGGCGCGCACGGAGGGCGTGGGGAACGGCGGGCAGGTGCTGCTGACGCGTGCGGCGTACATTGCGCTGGGTGCGGTGGCGCCGCGTGGGGTTGAGTGGGGGGCAGAGCTTCGGTTCCGTTTTGCGACGGTTACTGCGCTGCGCTGGTGGCAGCCACTGGGTGCCAATCCGTTGCGCCCTTTACGGGTTGTGCGGCTCGGGCACCGCGGGAGTTGTGTGTGGGCCCTGCCGGTATGCGTCCGGCTGTGGTGCGGGGGGCCGGGCGGGGCTGCGTATCTCGTCTGAGTCCCCGGAGGAGGACTTTGTGTGCTCATGCCCACCGCACGTGTGAGGCGCATGAATTCGGTGCGACTTGCCGGTGACGCCTCTTTGCTCCGTGGGCGTGTTTGCGCCTTCCCTCTCATGACGGGCCACCTTCACCGGGTTCTGTACACCCCCCACGTGCTTTGCAGGGTGTGAAGGCACGTGTTTTTTCTTCTTTTTTGTGGGTGTTGCGGTGGCAGTTCGAATCGGTTGTGCGGGTTGCGTTTGCATGCGCCACCGCGTCGATATATCAATGCATCTCTCTCTCTCCCTATCTGTCTC